CACTTGAAGCAAAATCCATCCGCCCTCCGCAACAGTTTGTCGGGGCGGACAAATTAAAGTTTACTTCAGCTTACAAAGAGCCAAATGTGTAGTCGAAAATATCACTAGGATCCATTCTCAAAACAATCTCCTGTCAGTAAGGACGTTGTACGTGTCATCTAACCTGCGGTTTGCCGCCAAATGGCACCGCAGGATAAACGGTTATGACCCGGGGCCCTCTGAACCGAGTGGTTTTGCAGCCAAATGGCACCACGAAATACCGGTTATGGCCAGTGCCAATACGCTCCTTATTGACATCAAATCCTTGAGATATGAATCAATATGATATGATCGATAGGGCACAAAGCCCTCTGTTAGCTAAGGTGGATTCAAATTTGTCCCCTTAGACAAACATTCACCCCCGATCTATAAGGTCCCCTTGGACGAAGCAACCCATGGCTGCCGACAAGGATCCTTCTGTCAGGTTGAGTCAACTACCTCCTCTAACTAAGTAGATCAGGGACCACGATGGCCCGGGATGACGGAACCACGGGATCTTGATCGGGTCTATCATCCATTCCCCCACCATTCGCTTTAAGTGCAGGATGGTGAAATTTCTATTTTGAATATCAAAATCTTCAAATCCCCAACTATTTCCAAACTTTCCAAACATTTCTAAATACCCAAATTTAAACCCAATTTTCAAATCCAAACCTATTGCAGCTACTATATGCCAGATAACACGTATTCCTTACGTATCTGATTGACGACTAGCCTTAATCTAAAGTTCTCTCCTATGATTCCCACCATATCAATAATCCCCCTTTAGATCTATTACTAAAATTACATTCCACGTATTCAATTTTAGATGTATTCAGACAAAAGCCTTTATACTTTAAAGTTGAACTCCATAATTCAAGTTTTCCTTCAACTCTCTCTCTAGTCCTATCCACAAGAAAAATATCATTAGCAAAAAGCATGCACCATAGTACATCCTCTTGTCTAGTAAGAACATCCATAACTAAAACAAAAAAAGATATGAGCTTAAAGCTGATCCTTGATGTACCCAGCTGAAATAGGAAAATATTTGGTCAAAGTATTTTGTGTTAGAACATAAGTAAAAACTCCTACATACATGTCCTTAATGACTTGAATATAAACATTATTAACTCATTTCTTTTCTAGAACTCTCTAGAGAACTTCTCTTAAAATTTTATCGTATGGTTTTTCTAAATCAATAAATATCATATGTGGATCCTCCTTATTCTCTCTATACTTCTCCATCAAATATGTCAATAAATGTATAGCTTCCATAGTAGACCTATGGTATGAATCCAAATTGATTTTGAGAAACAATAGTGTCACGTTGTAACTGATGCTAAATTACTCTCTCCCATAATTTTAATGTTTGACACATTAACTTAATTCCTCTATAATTCACACACTCTTGTGCATCGCCTTTTTTTCTTAAAAATAGAAACCAACACACTCCACTCATTTGACATCTTTTTAGTCTTAAATTAATATTAAAAAGTCTAGTAAGCCAAAAAATTTCTTCATCTTCTAAGCATTTTCACATCTCTATTGAAATATTATTAGGTCCAACTTTTTAACGCTTCATTTTATTTAAACCCTCTCTAACTTCAATTTTACTAATATGACAATAAAAACAAAATTCTCTATTTTTATTTAGAGTACTAAGGTCACTAAAGTCAATTGTATTCTCATAATCTTCATTGAAAAGCTTATCGAAATATCTCATCCAACTATGTTGAAATTATCACAATGATATAAACTTTGCTTGTAGGTCACCATGACATCCTTTTATCCCAAGATAAATCTCTATTTTTAAGAACATATAGGCTTAACTCTAGATGGTAAACTCCCATTTATATTCATGTCTTTCCATATAATAGATACAAGATTTATAAATCTATACATCGGTATCACTTTATCTTATGATAATAGGAATTGATGACTTGTTATCACATAAACATATACTCATTCATTGTTCAATAAATTCCAAGTTTATATCTTAAAAAAAAGTTCTATTATTCTACCTTTCTGCTAATTTAATTAGATTTCTTACTAATTACAATTACACTATCTATGCAAAACATACAATAAAGAGAAAAAAAAAGACCCACGTTTAAACCTCATTAGCACATATAGTTCAACAGCCATATTAGCATTATTACAATTAAAACAATAGTGTCAAACACATTTAATTGTATAATGCATCTTAAGAATTTCAGTTGGCCTTACGTTCTGTTGGTCGCAACATGAGAGAAATGTGCCCCTTTTTCTTCTTACGATGTTCCATTGAAGTCTCTTCAACACCTGCATGGAGAACATAAACATGAACCGCCATATTAGTAAGAGTTAAAAAGGGACTTTTATTACCAGGAGAATACAAAACCTATAGTCTGCAAACAATGTAGTGCCTCTTCCATTATGGCAGCTTGAAGAAGGTAATTTCTTAATTCATTGGTGAAATGCTCCTGCAAATTTCGTCTGGCATCTGCTAAAAAAATTGTTTTACAAAGAAGGATCATTCAGAAAACTGTTTCAGAAGGCATGCGTAATAATTATTCATCATAATAAGATAATGCAGCAGTTTAGCAGATAAAACTTGAAAATAGATGAAACACTGCATAGAAAATGCAGAAACAAAAAAGCAATCAAAGCCAGAAGGACCGTTAACTATTAGCTCCTTTGTGGAAAATTATGGGCTATGAGATAACTTAATACTGTGGACAGACATACTTCATTATGAAAAATGCTACGTAGAATATAATCAAGCAGATTTGTGTCCATCTAGTTAATTCTATTGAACCAAATTATTCTGTATTATGAAAAATACAAGGTTGCATTATCACATTGATATCCATGAGAGTCAACAATGGCATATCCCTTGGAGTTCAATATCTTTAATAATGTTGCCACTATTATTACGCTATCAAATTGGGGTACCACATTAAAAAATAGAGCATCCGTTCCTCTATTAATGACCTCCCCACCAGAAAAGCTACTTTGTTAAGGCACCAACCACATTCTAGGTCTATTTGAGGCAGCTGCAACTCTTTATAAAAATAGTTGTATTGTTGTTGTTGGGAAAATAATTTTTTTTTTAAATTGTTGTAAGCAATTTAAATACTTTTCTTTTTAAAAAAATCAGACATCAGCTTTCCGATAGCTTCCTCACTAAAAAAATATATCTAGTTGCAAAAACAGCTTTCTTTTGCAGAAATTTCTCCATTTGATTATTTATTTGCATAATCATTTAATTATCAAAACATTAAATGTGTTTTTAAATATATGTAATAATACAATTTTCAAGAGTCTTCCATATGACTATGCAAAAAATTCTTCATAATCTTCATAGTAAAGAATACTCAACCATTATTGTACCAATTCTTACTATCATAATAAGATTTACAAGCAACAACACCAACGGGTAAATATTTTTCTTCTTAGTTTCTACTAACTTTCGCGCAAGCTCTCAAATCATTTTAACTTCACACTGCATAACTAGAACTCATTTCAAATGATATTATTCTCAAGTTGATTGTCAAATGCAAAAAAATATAAATTTGAGATAATTGAAATATAAAATTTGGCCAAAAATATCAGTGTTATTATTTGTCAAAAGTTGAATATGAATCATATGAATTCAAGTATATCACACATAAAAGCAACTTGTATTCATCTCATTAAATTTATTATTGAGCTCTTGAAGTTACATATCTATTACAAAGTAAAATAGTTCAATTTTATAATGATGTAAATTTGATTGTTTGACCATACCGTTGTGACTTACCTCGCATTACCTAGATGAAAAAGGTTAAGATTATTCTTAAAATCAACTTAGGCTCCCATAACTCCACCCCTGCATCTAGTTATGCTAGAGAAATTTATTACAGTTCTAGTTAAGCTAGCTTCTAGACTCTTGCAAAAGATCAAATTCAATCTTCCCCTACTAGTTGGCCTTTAAAAATAGAAGTTTTCTTTAAACAATTAGATCTCCAATTGGTTATTTTATTTTGGCTAAACCTATGGTCTATTCATTATTTCATCGTCTACACAGCCTATTTACACAACTCCTACGCTCCATTATCCTTTCCATTATACCTCACGCTTTCTTCAGCAGCATTGAATGCAATTGTAGAAATCTTTGGGTCACTCTAAAAGATGATATTAGCAATAAAAACCATGGAATCATAAATATTTTCCAATGATAATAACAAAGGAACAAATGTGGCTGTCAACAATATCTAATATAATTAATTCATCCTACAGGAAAATAATCAATACCACCATGGAACAAATTTATCCACAAATGTCGTTGTAGAGAAGAACAAAAAAAAAAGCAATATGCACTATTCATCAAAAGACTAGATATTGGATTAAAATATTCAACACCTGGTGAGCATATAAAGTTGACATCTTGAAATTCACAACAATGAAGCATTAAGGGAAGCTCAGGTGCCATGTTGTACTGTGGTTTTCTGGGAGCTTTGTTGATGTCCAATAAAAAATCAATTATCTGCAACATAATCAGGACTTTGACTGATACTTCGAAGGATATTTACAAACAAAATACCTAAATATATTAAGCAACATAGTCAAAACTCAAATCTTAATATTTAGGCAGGTAAAACCAAATCTATATAGGACAAAGAGGATTATGTAGTGTCTTAGTATTGGTGAATTAACAATGCATTTCTTTCCTAAGTTTATTTATAGTCTTTATTTTAATTAACAAGGGAAATAGAGTTAGTTGTCAGTTGTAAGAATAGGTTTATTACTCATACATATCACATAGGATCTTCAATTATAAATTTAAGTCCAAAGGGTCAGGCAAAGACAGACTTGAAATCAAATGAAATGATACATGTCATGTCATCCTTCATCCCCCTCTCAGGCAGGATGCCTAATTTTATATCTTCTACTAACTTCTGATGGAGATGAACATATTTACACTTTGGGAACTGATTAGAAAAAAATTATTTTATTTTCTAATCTTTGAATTGGGTCGATTCCCAAGTTATGCAAATTCTAGTAGGAGATCAGCCGCAGGTTGTTTTATCATGTTGGACTTTGGATGTTGTTGTTAGTTCAGTAGTGCGCTGCCATCATTTTGGGCTTTTAATTGCAAGATTAAATCTTTGGGCTTTAATTGTTAAACAGAATTTATATTAGAACTAATGCCAATTGAGGAATATGATTTTTACACTATTGCAAATGAGATATACACTGAAATCTTTGCAGCCAAGGTTCACAAGACTCGCGGCAGGATTAGACAAACAAATCGGGCATAAGATAGAAGGCAAAAATCAGCATATGTGCAATTCACAGGATTTGTAGACTTTCCACTATAGGCATTGCGAATAAAAATTCTGAACCATAAAAAGTTATGATCATCAACAATTGAATCTACCTTAAAACCATCTTTATTCAATTCTAAATTTATATTGACTCTATAATAGCTTCAAAATTTTTATGCTTACAAATAAATAGTTCGAGTCATGTAATTAGGAGACTTTTGGTTGAATAAAATTTCTCTTCCAATTTTCAATCTTCTGTGTATGTTGAATGTGTGATTACTTTGAGTGTGGTAAAAATGCTAATACCTAATTCTGCCAAAAGGCATCTCCTTGATATGCATGAGATCTCAATTTCTTACTTCGATAAATTCTTTCTTTCACCTAATTTCTTTAGTATATGTTGCTATTGACTATATAGTTTCACACAATTAGGATTATAATTATGGTGGGTACATTATAATTTAGCAATGTTTAAAGTTCTCATTAATTTCTTTGAATTTATTTGATCACTATATTATTATTTGGGTTTTAATTCTTAAATTTTATATTTTGAATCAACGGAAATCAAGTTTTGTGTATTTAATGGTCATTGATCCATGAATCCTAGTTTTTATTATTTGATAAATTCATTGTATCATATTAACTATATTAGGAGATCCTACACCCTAACCATCCAGCATCTTCTTCTTCTTCAATTGCTCAAGGATTTTGGAATCCTCCCACTTCTTAACAATTCAGCAATGGGTATCAGAGCATCATTTGTCATCGCTCTGTCATCGCTCTGCATCAATTAGTATTCAAGCCCAAAATCGTCTCGAGATTTGTCATTAACAATTCAAAAGATAGAGAACGTTCCATGAAGATCAATTTCAAGGAATACATGAACTGTTCAATGACGTGCAAGGTTTTAAAAACCGGACCGGACCGGCCGGTTCAACCGGTTGAACTGGGAACCGGTCTGGCGGCCGGTCCGGTCCACCCCTTTCAGTTAAACCGGCCAAAAACCGGGTCCAATGCCGGTTGAACCGCTAAACCGACGAACCGGACTCCGTGAAAAGAACCGTCCGGTTCCGAAATTACCTAATCAGAGCTGTTGATCTCAAATCCAACAGTCGAAATTGGATTTAAGTTTCATTAAGCGGGAGTCGAAACTCGAAACCCTCATTTCGCTTATTTCGTTTGCTGCTCGCTGCTCGCAAACCCTACGGGACCAACAAAGAAGACGACAGAGGCTTCACGCTAGGAGAGCTGAACGGCGGCATTTTCGTTTGCAGGTGAGTCGAAACACCTTAAGGCATGCTTTCCGTTTTCGTCTCTCTTTTTGGTCGGACAATGGTGCTGCCGTGTTGTTTGTTTTGGCATGCTCCATCTGTCCGAGCAGTCCGAGCAAGATAGGGGAAAATGAGGATGCGATTTTGTTTTGGCATGCTCCATCTGCCGTGCTTTTTTTTTTTTTATATGGTTCATTCGCCTTTGCCGCAACCGAGACCAAGAGCGATGAGGGATTTTCGGATTTTGTTCAGTTTTAAGCCCTAACCGGGATTGCATTCATGTATGATGTATCAATTATCATATTATTGTAGATGTCATTGAGCTCCTTCACTCACATATACGAAGCTACCCGAAGAAGATCGTAACTGTTAATCCAGAATTGTTCGGTTAATTGATGGTTTGGACTTTGGAGGTGAATTTCTGTCATTTTATGTGCTGAGTGCTGACATTTTGGAGGTGAATTTTCCTATCTGTAATTTAATATATAATATTATTTATTACGTCATCCGGTTCGACCGGTCGAAACGTGCACCTCTCCTTCTTCCGGTTCATTGTTCGGTCCGGTTTTCACAACATTGATGACGTGTGCTTTGGTTTTCTGTTCTTAAGCCATTGATCACCATATTGGATATATTATATTTTCACAAACTTTCATGGATATTATTAACTTACCCAAGCCCTTACCCTCTTTTTTGTTTTTTTTATCATTGACCATCTTCGATCATCAATTGTGCCACAATAGTACCTGCAACAGTGATCAACTCATGCTACAAAAATAGCATTAAAAAAAAAGTTCTGAACAGTGGCAATGATTACTACTATTCCATGAATATTAATATAGTTAGAACCCACCATTCTACATGCCTCGTTGACAAACATCACAAGCCATCCTCTTCAACTAACTCCACAAAAATCTTCACAGCCGTTCCTCTTCAAAATCAAATCTAAAACCACCTTCATATAAGCCTCTTTAATTTTTCTCATTAATTTCTTTGAATTTATAACATCTTCAAATCAATCCTTATCCACTTCCTAAAAACACCCTCAACAAACGAGTCATTCATGTGTGGACTAATGATCTTTTTTCAAGGTGTGTTCCAATTTCATCTCTTCTTTTTGGATTGCGTTCACAAAGAGATGGATTTCACTACTTGATACAATAACAAAAGAGCTTCTAATTCTTCCTCCATAAGCATTCAAACTCTCATGGGTACAGTTCTTTGCCCTTGGGAGCATGGATAGTCATATTTCAGTATTTTGGTTAAATTACCAATGTATTTCTTTTTTTAGCATAATTATAATCTTTATTTTTAATTACCAATTGCAATAGAATCATTTGTCAATTGTTTAAGAAAATATAGATCTTATCTTGTAGGATCTTCTATTATAAAAAAAATCCAAACTGACATGTAATGACAAATGATTAACTTTGATATTGAATGAAATGATTATTGTCATGCTTCTTTCTCCCTCTTAACTTGTATGCCTGATTCTCCCTCTTCATCTTCAATTGTTCAAGGTTTCTCCAACTACTTCGCTCTACATCAATTCATATCAAAGCACCATTCCATCATTGCTCTAACTCAAAATTTCATAAACTGTTTAGTTCACATAAGTGTACAGCATGCATACATGATATTTAGGTTTTAGGCCAGAATAAGGAGATGCAAGTGTAATATTGGTGATCATCTCAAAAGACTCTATGTACACCAGAAGGATGTATTTAAGATAAATCATGAGTCAATGAATAGTTATTTTTCTTATTATTAATGGTGAGAAGTTGCGAATCAATATAAAAAAGGAATCAACCCTTCTGGAAAAAGAAACAATTAAAATATATATTAAAGATAAATCATAAGTGAATGAATAACTTAATTTTTCTGATAGATGGTGACAAGTTGGAATCCAGGAGATAATACCAATAACCCTTCTTTAAAACTAAACAATCCAATCTTTCCATCCCAGTAGACGTACATTAACTACAAAAGGTAGTCTTGATAGTCAACCATATAAATAATCAACCTCCATGATAGGCATAATCCAATATTGCCTCTCTCTCTCTCTCTCTCTCTCTCTCTCTCTCTCCTCATATATATATATATATATATATATATATATTTTAAACTAGCTTCTTTCCAGGCAATGCATTTGTGATAATAACTCAGTATCAAAGTGAAAGGATGTATAATACGCACATCTGGAGATTCAAAGCCTTCTCCAATCATAAACAAAACAGAGAGCATGCAGCGTACTTGATGCCACAGAAAGGCACTACCCTTAATGGTTATAGCCCATAGATTATCATCATTTGACCTGCAGGCAGTTGCAGAAAGAAAAATGTTGATAGCATACTTTTCAAAGTACATGGTACAAACAAATTCATGCCTCAACCAATGAACCTATAATATATAATGTTTTCTTAAATTTTTAATCTACAACTACTGAACATTGATATGATGAATATAAGATATGAGAAAAACAATCAAAGTAGCGCATTAAACTTGCTTTTTTTTTTGTTGAGAAAACTCAATATCAGGAAGAGGGGAAAGAGGTGTCATTAGTTCAGAATTTACATAGAAGCTCCTCACTCTACTCTTTCATCATTATTAATCTAGCATGATGTGAATTATCTAGCAACAGAGCCAATAAACAGTAACAAATTTATTCACATATGATTGCTTCCACTGAGCCTCCCAATGCACAAATGACCTCCCTTTTTACCTTAAAAATTTCATAGATTTACAGAATACTATAAAAAAGGATAGAAATGGGAAAAAGAAACCCATTCATCTCAAAAAAGGGAATCCATCAGGCATCATCCATCAAAACTGTAAAACCCGAAAACGAACGACGATCGTAGGTCGTCGCACGCTTTTCGATGCGTTGTGACGAGACTTAAGTGAAAATTTCAAAGTTAACGGAAATAATTTTATAAAATCCTACGCAAAATTATGATCGATTTGGTATATAGAACTAGTATCCAATTTCGCCTAAATTTGGGGTTAAAATTTTTGGAAGCTTCTAAATACCCATAATACCCTTACTTGTTCCTTAAGCCAAATTTACTTAAGTGAGGGCATAATGGACAATTGGCATTTCCCTTTCTCCCTATTAAGCAAACTGAAACCCTCCTCCCCCTTTTCATTCGCTAGTTTCAGCCGAACAAGGAGAAACCGAGCGGAACAAGAGGAACGGGCGGACGGCGGGCTCGGCACTGTTGGCTCCGGCGGCGATTTTCTGGCGAAGAGTTTAGTGCAAATCGAAGAGGACGAGGAGAGTCTTAAGGTACGATTATTTTAAAACAAATCTCTCTATATCTCAAGTTATTTGGAAAAGAACTTTCTAGGATTTTTCAAAAAAATGAGTTTTCTTTCAAATCTCTTTACGGAAACTTTAAGGAATGATTAGAGGAATGATTTAACGATGAAAATGAAATTTTTGGAAATTTAAAAATTAGGGTTTTTGATCTAAAATTTAATTTTCGTATGACATCTTTACAAAAGTGATTCCTAAGGGTTTTGGAAATGTTTCTAAGGAAAAATTTTAAGTTTTTAGTGAAAAATTTATTTTCTTAATTTCCCTAATTAATTTAATCCGAAAATTATTAAGATAATTATTAATATATGTTTCGGAATAATTTTGGAGCAATAAATTGATAAAATTTACAATTTTCCGAAAATTATGATTTAATTAAATCCGAAAATTTAGATAAATTTCATTTAGTGTCGTAAGGAATAATTAAGGGGAAAATGAAGGGTTTAGACTTAGGAATTAGATTAAACTTTAAGGGATTGAATTGTGATACGTCTCTTTTGTAATTATTTTAGATTGTGATCGTTACGGTGAAAGAGTTGTGTCGAAGCGACACTTTGAGGAAGTACTGTGCTTAAGAAAGGTAGGTACTTGTATTTAAATTAAATTCATGCTTCTAAATCCTCTAAATTTCCTTTTATGTTAAATAAAACATATTTAGTTTATAAATATTCTATTTCATTCAACTATCACATGTTTGAGTTTTCTTTATGTTATTATGCAAGAAAGATTGTATATTTGCTAATATTTTATAAATTCATGCATAAATGTTTATTATCATCTTTTACTGTTTCATGCTTAATGACATGTTTAAGAAAGATAAGAAATTAAGTCATAAATTTGAGATAAATACATGTTACTTGCTGAGCGTTGGCTCATCCTACATTTGAAAATCTTTTTCAGGAGAACAATTTAAGAAGTAATGACTACGAGATGACAGTACACCTACCGTCGTAGAGAACCTCAAGAAGAAAGGTTCTTTTTATGTTTTCTGTTGAGTTTGAGTTCAGTAGTTTGTACATGTGTCTGAACAGTTTATTGGAATTTATGTAATTGTGGATTTATATATGTTTTAGTTGTATGAGAAGAAACAATATGGGCAATTTTGGTATTGATGTTGTTAGTGACTCTTTCTTACTTATGTATTGAGGATATTTATGTTCCGTTATAAAAGTTTAAATGAAATTGTTCATGATTTATACGTGTTTTCCATACGACCGACTGTCCCACCCCGTTATATCAGGCTTGCCAGGCCGGGTCGTGACAAAAACATGGAGCTGCAGCAGGATAGGTAAGATCCATAACCAAGTAGGAGGTGAAATAGTTGCTGAAAAGTATGATGTATGAGTCAGGAACTTGAGAAAAAACCAACTTCCATAGCTATGGAAGGTGTCAACTAAGTTAAATTTCTTCCTCGTCAACTTGCAAAAGATATCTTGTCCCCTCTAGTCTAATTTAGCATGTAAATACGCAGAGAACTAAGTTCATATCTAGTTGATTCCTTTATGTACACCCCAATACGCATTCAGGCAATTCACCAGGATCAACCAAAAATGAGCTCAATACCCCGCTCAAGATGTGAAATATAAACTTCTAGCGAGATTCATCTAAGGCATGCACTTTGTTAGGCAACAAATTATCCAATTAGACTCCACTTGTCTATTACAAGAAGCAAATAATTATCAATCCTCCCGATATGCTAAATTTTATATATTTTATTACTTCTTTTAATTATTTGAGAGGTGCTGTTGGGTCTCTCGGATTTCAAACTATATTATGATTTTAAAATGACAATAGAATTGTCCATAAAGAATTAATCAATTCAGTTAACAAATTGTTGCAATCTTACATAGTAAAAAAGCAGGAAAGTAACATGACATTTCAAATACAACAAGGTGCATTCATAAAAATTTAACCAACAAATAAACCATATTATAAAGTGTTTTCAAAACCAACACAATTAGATGTTTTGCTCTATTATAGAAAATTCAGCGATGTAAAAAAGCACACAGCGACAAAAAATAACAGTCATATTCAGTGAAAACAGGTATATAGAAAAAAAAAACGCAAACAAGGTAATAGGTTGCTCAGCTATCAAATCATTCAAGTGTGCAATCTGAGCGAACGTTTTATGTTCCTGAAATAGAATTTACCACTTGTTGCAAGGCGATATAGCAAATTCTGTGATATGCCTCCTATAGTTATGCACATTTAAAGCATCCATTTTACAAAAATTTCTGAAGTCATGTTCCCCGATGAATTTTTGGGAAGCTTTCTGCATAACCTGGTTGTTGCATAAAACAGAAACATTTCTTTAGTACCACCGGTTAGGAGAAAGTATTTACACTTAATCAATGAAGACAGTAACAATGTAACATGCAAGCGAAGAAATATACAAGAGAGACGAACTACTAACTGATATATCCATAGTCCCTCTCCAGAAGAAATACATGTATTCTCTGCGTAGGCAGCTAAACCTGCAAAGGATCAAGATGGTTGATGTAATCCAAAACATGAATATATATATATGCTCATAAACAAAGTTCCCCGTACTGGCAGAGCTGCTGCAATGCCAGATTGTAAGTAATTATCTCCCATGACGACCGGTAACACATGCTTAAAGCTTTTTAATGATCATTTCTAGTTATGACGTTTGGAGTTACGTGGTGGAACAATGGGAAATATCCTAAGGATATACATTGCTTCCTCATTAAAATTTGGCAAAAACAGTAACCATGACTCAAAAAGAAACCACAGAAACTCGTCCCCATCCAAAGAGAAGACTTCTAAGACAAAGGGTACATTATGAGGAGCATAGTGGTAAAACAAATTCGGAGATCTTTAGAATTTTGCAATATTATGACCCAAAAGGGCACAAAGACAACTTGGGCTACCAATGTACTCGCCAACAGTTGGTGCTAAGGAGTCACCAATTTTCTCATTGAACAGGAAATGCTCATGTGAGTAAGATGATTGGATCAATCCAAGCCCCAATTCAGCCAATTCAAGTATAGACGGATTTTGTTTGACTTGCTGAATATGTTTGGGGTATATGAGCCAATGCAAGTATGTTCAAGCAATGTTTAACAAAACAAAACAAAATTAGACTCTAGTTCAACAATTTAAGATCTAAATATTAAATGTCATTATAGTGTAACAAATTCATTAGTAAAAACATAGATAACAATGGTTTGACAATAGTGGACCTTTGGACAAATGTAATGCTACAACAAAGCCTCTACTTATTGCAGGACACCTTATGGTATTAGGTTTTTTAATGCAGATCTGTGATGGAATTCACAAAATTATGCACCTATGGTCAAATTGGCGATAAAAAACTTCTAATTTAGAGAATTATTCCTATAGATGAAAATTAGAAAAAAACAAAATACAAACAAATTATAATTTAACAATCATCTAAAGAGGAATCTTACCAAAAATTTAAGATCATTAAAGAATCACATGTTCAGTTGGAAACTCACATCGCAATGAAAAAAATCAGTTTGTCCCTCATTTGAAAATAATCAATCAAACAAGCATGCCAATCACCAAATTAGAGAATAAAATATAAAAAAAAGAAAGTCATCTCCAAATAACAAGCAATACCTCACGCCAATACAAGGAAATGATTTCCTCCAAAAACTTAGCGTCCAATTGCTATAAGTTAGATAGAATCACATACCAGCACTAAAACAAAGAGGAAAATAATACAAAGAGAAAAATAATACGCAAACAAATCAGAAAATCATTGGAATTATATTTTTTTAACATGCCTCGAGCATCCCATTTATAATTTTAGTTCCCCTCAACTTCACAATATCAGAAGATAAGGTCAAAAGAATATCCTAAGAGAATAAGAGTTGTTGAAATCTAGCAACGATAACCCTGCAGAAAGGCATATAGCCCACATAATTGATGGAAACATTGCAACTAAAGGCATAACAACAATCACACAAGAGAGCCACAAATTATGGCTGCTATGGTGCCCAAAGGGTCACATAATAGTGTAGTGATCGAACAACATGAGTCACAATAATAGCATAAACACAACAAATGAACCAAAGCAAATCTAGTGAACTGAACGGAACTAGAGATATCAAAGAGTAGAAGTCAAAACCAACACAAGGAATCAAACCAAAACACTGAGAAGAGTATACAACATTAGTGAACACAACATGTTCTTATAAAAATCAACACAAGCATGACCAAAAATAATGGTACTCCTCATGCCCTTTTACTATAAACTATAAATTACAATAAACCACTCAAATTCTTATTAACCACTTTAGTTTATCCATCAATTTGTAAGTAATAAGCAGCTGAAAATTTTAATTGAGTTTCCATTTTTCCACAGTTTATGAATATCATGCTTCGACATAACACAATAATTTTAGGCAAGTTATGCAATTTAAACCATTGAAATATGATTTGGGAGAGATATTTCCTAAAGGTTTAGGGTAATCCTAACACAAATTTCATGCTAATATCTTCCCAAGCCTCATAAAGAATAGGTAAAGGTATGTATAATTTAGTGTCATCTCTTTTCCTTCACCCGCTAGACTAGTTCTACATTGTGAAATTCTTTGAGTTGCATCAGTCTTTAAACTTGGCCAATAATATCTATCCTATGTCATAGCATGCAATTCTAGATTTAAAAAAGCTCTTAAAGATGAATAAGGAACGCATGAGCTTTCCTAAAGAAGATGGTCATCTTTAATCATAAATTCTTCATTAATCACAAGTGCTTCATTATTTAAGTCATGATATATTTCATTAAGTACTAACAAATGGCATAATCCTCCGTAATGCAACAAAAACCCATTACTTCGATTTTTATTGTATACAAAATCAAAACACCACTCAGTACATCAGCATGGTTATTCTCAACTCCGATATAAAGTACAAGAGCTTTCCTAAAGAAGATGGTCATCTTTAATCATAAATTCTTCATTAATCACAAGTGCTTCATTATTTAAGTCATGATATATTTCATTAAGTACTAACAAATGGCATAATCCTCCGTAATGCAACAAAAACCCATTACTTCGATTTTTATTGTATACAAAATCAAAACACCACTCAGTACATCAGCATGGTTATTCTCAACTCCGATATAAAGTACAACGACAACAACAACAACATCAAGCCTTTATCCCACTACGTGGGGTCGGCTACATGAATCCTTTTTCTCCATTGTGTCCTATTAAAAGTCAAATTCTCGTTTAAATCTAATAAAGAAAAGTCATTCCAAATATTTTCTAACAAAGTCTTTTTAGGTCTACCCCTATCTTTCTTAACAAAAGTCAAATCTAATACCTCTACTCTCCTAACCGGGTCA